GCATCATCGCTGATGCGACAAGGACACATTCTTTTTCTAAACAACGATCCTGATATATATATATATATATTTCTATATATACATACATACAATATATTATTATATAATTTTATACTTTTTATTGTACTTTTTTATTCTTTTTATTCTTTTTATTTTTATACTTTTAAATCTCTATTATCGCTTCTCTTTGCATAACAGAATTTTAATTTCATTTAGTTTTATTTATAAAATTTGAGATTAATATCGAATTCAATTTATATTTTTTATTGACATATTATATTTTCTATTATGCGTTTATCCTTGAAGATGCTGCGACGGAACCATTCTCACGTTTAGGCGCTGCGAGGATGCTGGCATTCGTAGTGATTTATGCGCGACAATAGTAACGATAAAGTTTCTTCTATACAGTTTATGCTTTTGTTATGAGCAATTCTACAGTGGAACGAGAATTTCGCGAGTTACGTAACACACCAGCGAGTTACGATGGGCGTGGGCTACGCTCGTAATTGAATTCGAATGTTGGGAGAGATCTTCATACTTGAAATTTAGAAACAATCAAAACTTGAAACATAGAAACCGCAAGGAAACGGATGTCGATTTGCGAAATCAAGATCTCGCTTAGAAGATCGGAATTGATCTGCCGCCGCTTGTTGATTAAATCTTGAAACACAATAGATATAATAAGCTTTAAACCTCTTTTAATGAATTAATCAGTCACAGTTATGTGAGAACTATATATCAACTATAATTGGTTAATTTTTTAAAGCCGTAATCACAATATTGTGATTGATGGTAATTACTTTTCAACCAATCAGAACAAAGCAATCACTTATTGCTTTGCTCTGATTGAAAAGTAATCACTAATCGCTAATCACTAATGTGCTTAAGGCTTAGGGATAAAGCTTGTTTTCAAGTTTGTTAATTGGCTAAAGGATAGAGAAATCCGGGATTTCTCTGTCTTAAAACTATAGATATATCAAAGTAACGCAATCCTTTGATCTGAGCCGAAATACCGGCAACTTTCCTATTGGCTATTTCGACCGCCATTTGCGACTTAATTCTCTGTAGTCCAATAAGCTTAGTATGATTGGTACAAATATATGATTAGTACAAAAATGGAGGATCTTTGCGTTATTTTGGTATATCTAGACCTTTACTCTGTCCTGCGCACATTTATCGTACAACAAAAATGCATAAATGAAATAGCGAATCTTTACACATCTATTTTAGAACTAATGCATGAGAATAATATTGAACATTTAAGAAATGACGTAAATTTAAGAAATAGTGAGTCAAAAAAATCAGTCATCATTGAAAGAAAGATTTCGCAACTATTAAATGATGATGGCTGTTTGAATTAAAGAAACTTGTGAATTATTTTTTTTAAAACACAGTGAATACGTTTATACTGACTTGAGTATCTCCTTAAACGATCTGAGGTTCTAGTGCATAAAATGAAAAGTTAATAAGAAGTTAACGACAATGTACAATGAGACCATAACCCATTCTCGTTATCAGAGCGTATAATTTGAAGAATGATCAGACTGTTTCTAAAACTTCGCGAGTTTGTTAAAATTTATTCAAGCAAAGCGGCTTACGCTGCAAAGTTGCTTTAGGGAGTAATATGTAAAAACTGAAGAGCGTGAATTGGATCGTATCAACCGTTATTTGTAGCTAAATAATAGGGATATGTATCTATTAATGTACAATCTCGTCATTGCGATCATTAAGCGGATAAATGCGATTGTTTAATTGTACCTTGACTCCCCGGAGGATTACAAAATTGTGAATTGATTGGACATTGAATAATGATCGCGATTAAATGTATTACAATGTATAATTAAACATAATTAATTTTATAAAAAGATTTATAAATTTATATATTTTATATATTTTAAATGGAGAGAAACGGAACAAAAATATAAAATAAATATAATTTTACAAAAATTTTTCATCTCATTAAGCTAAGTATGAGAATTTAATATAAAACAACTCCATAAATTTATAATATTATAAATGTGTCAAAAACATTAAATTTGTATATTTAGTTTAATGAGATGGAGATTTTTTTGTAGAGTTGTTTTTTTATTTTATATTTTTACTCTTTTTCTGTCTTCTCAAAATATACAGATATCTTTTTAGAATATACTTTGCAAGTATAATTAAAAAGATGATTTTTTTATTCTTATATAATATTGAAAATATACATTTATTAGTATAAAAATGTGAGAAGCAAGTAAATATCGAGGTTGTGTGCTAAATCGCAGATCGCGAAAATGAATTATTGTACGTCGATGTCCTTTGTTATCAATTAAACTTGAGAATTCTAAACATCGCTGTTCAGTCAAGCAAATCCTGCGAATAAGCAAACTATTAGGACGATTCGTATTGACACTGACAAATTACAATATGTTGTATAGTATGTTGTTGATTTTCGAACACGCAAAGATCGGGAGTAAACTGCTAAGCGTAAATGCTGAGGTGCCATTAAAATCTCCAGCGTTATCAACATTAACTTTTGCAGTATATATACTCGTACTTCGCAGGAAGATTGTATGTCATTTTTCAATGTAAAACGAGCAAAATAGAAATAAGTGGTGGTATATAAGAAGAAAATTGAAAATATTTAAATTCAAATTAATTGTCTTAATTGTGTTTTTCGCACTTTTACAGATAACATCGAGTTGTTAATTCTTATCTTAATGAAACTGCGAGAAAGATTGGGAATCTAAAAATATATACTGTAAAACTCAACTATTTTTGATCTCAGCTTTGGCCATTTTAATATTTTCTTTCCATCATCAATTTCCTATCTTTACTGGAGAAAATTTATCAGCAGAGCTGCATTTTGCATAAAACGCAAAGTATATATATATATATATATGTGTGTGTGTGTGTGTGTGTGTGTGTGTGTGTGTGTGTGTGTGTGTGTGTGTGTGTGCGCGCGCGTGTGTGTGTGCGTGTGTGTGTGCGTGTGTGTGTGTGTGTGTGTGTGTGTGTGTGTGTGTGTATGCACATATAATAAAAAGCATTTCTGTAGCGCAAGATGGAATCTAACGATACTATTTAATCCAGGAATTTAAACTGAAGCTCGTAAACCGGTTTGTTGCTCTTTCGATATTATTTAGCGGGAGATTTCAGCGAAAATTTCCCGTTGGATTCACCCTCTTTCCGCGTATCGATCGAAATTATACCTTCGCTCATTTTTTTTCATAAACAGGTTCGATCAACCATGTAGTCGTTAATTTCGTTTTATGTTTTATCGCGTCGCGCGAGTGATCAAACTCGACCGATCGTTAACGCAGCAACCAATTTCGTGAAAATAGTAATGCTGTTGTAAAATCGCGCTGATCCAATTAAACGTTAATTATGTGCGTTCCGTATTGATAGTGGCAATAACAATCGAGCACTGACTATTACTGCAGTACTAAATAAATCGTCTGATTCGTTAAACTGGATAATTTTATTCCAAACGTAGCACAAACGTAACGTGCGCTTCTTTTTTCTAAAAAGAGATATTGATCCTGTTTCTTTTGTAAAAATAATGAGATGCCCTTTTTGCATATCCGGCCATTTGTATCTATTATGTTGCGAATACGAGCTTTGAATATCTAAAAGTAATGAAATTTATGAGATTATTTAAATACATTCAAAGTAACATTTTTGAGATTACCGCAAAACTAAAAATCAGAGAAATTAAGAGAAATATTAGAGAAATTTGAAACAGTTATTAGGGAATTTTACAAAGTTTTCCGGAGAATTAAAATTCTTAGCTTTAAAGAAGCTTAATATGTATACATAACACTACGCAGTTTTGGAATATTATTAATTTAACAATTAAATTAAACAGTAACACTACTAGTTATTTACACTGTGACGTTAATTTGCTTTCTCAACAAAATATTGTTAGTTTCCAAATCAAGAAATTTTATTTGAAAATCAGGAAGAAGTTATAAAATTTTACGACGAGGAATTTGTGGCAAAACCCTGATTTTATTAATTTACATTACACTCAATTGGAATTCTGATTATTTTTAATAAAAGATTTGTATCAATAGTGAGAGAAACGTGTGCATTAAAAGATAGAATTTCATTAAAAAATTATATAAACTGCAATCAATGTTGTTTTCGATATGAGATTTTAGCAATATATAAGTTTATTTGTAATTTATGTTCTGTTTTAAA